CGGCTGCCTTTCTTCTGCACAAACGTCTCATCGGGCCCTTGACCAAGCCTCGGCTTCTACTCTTTCGATTAGTTAGTGTGATTGACTTCGATCCATTTTCCCTTCTAATCTTTGCAGGAAAGCAATCTGTCTCTCCCCGAATTGAATTTGTATTGCTGATGTTTTTGACATCCGTAGTGGCATTCTTCCTGTCATATTGAGGGGTGTTTATGGGATCCCCTTTTATTCCTAACCTGAAGCTAAGGCATTTGTGCATCCTGCACTAACCCACTGGTCCCATATCATTAAAAAAATCAGACATTCTCACATGCAAGTTTCTTACGGCCGCCCCTCACAGTCCTTATTTCTTACCCTACAGACTGGAACTTTCTGTTCCTCACAGACCTATTGTCGCAGCAGCTCCGTCTCCCCCTTGGGTGGGTTGAAAATGAAACTGTCTGTTCATCTGAAGCAAATAAAAGACCTGTCATGTCTTCTGTTGTCTAGCTGATGCCACATAGAGTAAGTGACTTCTTTTTCTTGGGCCCTGGAGCACCAGTATGTAGAAACTTAATAACACATATAATTAATCATTCTATTAAAAATAGAAAATCCCACATGTATGAGTTTGCTAGGGCTGCCATAGAAAAGCCCCACAGAGTAGGTGGTTCAAACAGTAGAAATGGATTGTCTCACAATTCTGGAAGCTAGAACTCCCAGATCAAGGTGTTAGCAGAGCTGCCTCCTTCTGATCCCTCTGCTGGGCTCGTCCGTGGCTGTCTTCTCCCTGTGTCCTAATGTCATCTTCCCTTTGTGTGTCTGTATCCACATCACTTATAAGGGCACCACTCATGTTGGATTATGGCCCATCTAATGAGCTACCTTTAACCTGATTGCCTCTGTAAAGACCCCATCTCCAAATAAGGTCCCATTCTGAGGACCCTGATGTAATGAATTAGAGTGCGGGACACGACCGACCTGTAATAGTCCCCTTTGTGCTGCATTTCCTCCACTGTTGCCAACCCAGGCCCGTCTGCACCATCGTGTCTTCTCTACAACACGTCTCACCAGTCGTCTCAACTGTCCCGAGGCCTCATTTATTGAGGGTGAATTTCATTCATGTGATGTCAACACCCGTTTGCGAGTAAAGAGCAGTGTGCATTTACTAATAATGAGACTGATAGCGTTGTAAATTGAACGTAATTCTAAAATGGAATTCTAGAAATCAGTCTGGACAGGTCCAGCATATATTGAATAAGCATGCAGCTTCCAGGAGAGGTCAAACAGCTCTGTGTTTGGAGAACAGCAGCTCGACTGCCTGGGTTATCACTTCCCCCTTCACTAGCTGCTTAGCCCTGGGAGAGGTTCTTAAGTCCCTCTTTGACTGAGCTTTCTTGTCTCAAAATGTAGATGTTATTGTACCTACTTTACAGAGTTATGAGGATATAAAGTGCTAATCTATGGGAGGAACATGGAAGCGTGCCTGGTACACAGTAAGAGCTCAGTAAATGTTTGACACTGTTCTTCCCAGGGTGGCTGCTTTGAATGAAGACAGTCATTTGAGTGAATGAGGTCTGGTGTGTATGTTAACACATTGTGGACCGGTGACACAGATTTGCATCTGTATATTTAAATGCCCCATCCTCAGTGTGTTAAAACATTATCTGCTGATTTGTGGAGACAATTTATGTGTTTCCGGGGTGCAGTCTGATTTGCTCTGAGAGGACAGTTCTTTCTGTCACAATGGTATGCAAGCCTGAAAGAGATATGGGATTAGCTGTGATCATTGAAGTACATGTAACTCTATTTGATAAACGTTTACCTCGTCTAATTTGGTGGTTTTCAATTTGTATTCCTGCTCCTGGAATCATGGTTGAGGGACCACAGTGTGACGGTGGTGACATTAAGTGTGTGGGATCAATGTGATATCATTTGTGCCCCAGGCCAGACACCCCACCTCAGTCAGAACAACCCCCCCCACCCCGCTGTTATCTATTTTCCATATTACAGTTCTGTGTAAAATTGTGTTTGAAAGCGTTCTACTACTAAAAATAGATTGAAAACCCCTAGCACGGTACACAGATTATTCGTATTATTCTGCCCCCATTGCTTTCACTCTCATCTACCCCAGGGATGCAGCTAATGTTAATATCAGTGTGAGCAAAACATAATTAGGCAGGTAAATTCACTGCAAAAGGTAATATAGCATAAATTAAACAAATTAACTACAAATCAGATCAAATCTAAAACAGTGCATTCAATTATCTGCACCACTACCTCCTGCTCCAACATGGCTCTGAGAGGCGGGTGGTTGTCTTCCTGGGAGGGGATCAGAGCTGAGCCAAGACCCACAAATTGCGTCAGCCCCACAAGGATGGTGCTTAGCCTGTTGGGCGTTGGTAAAGGTACTGCCATTTTGGTCAGCTAGATTTCCAGGGTCAGAAGTGGACCCACTTCCCATCTGCGGTAATTGTTAATGCTTGAACTGGTCTTTGTGTGTGGCTGGGAGCACCTATTTAATAAGATGCTATGAAATGCTCAGATAGGATCAACGTTGTGGTGAACCATTTATTGAATGGTTGTTGGTTGGATGGACTCTGAATAGCCTGGTGAAGGCTGTGCATTCTGCCCAAGGACGGCTGGGAGTCAGGAGAGCAGACGGTGGCAGCTCAAAGCTGGTGCTGCTGTGGAGAGAGTCGGGGGAGGCCCGACTTGACACCTCCGCCCTCCTCTCGCCAACATCTCAAGTGGCTTGGCTGCTCCCTGCTCCCTGTTAGCAGCCACTCAGACTTACCTCCCTTCAGAAGACCCCATCTCCATCCAGCAGTGTCTAGAATTCTCCAGGCGGGATTCTACATGCTGCTTCCCTCGGTTCCCGCTGAGCACAGTGATTTTTGTCACATTGTGACTCCTGAATTCAGAACCATCTGCTGCTACGTGCCCTACTGTTCGTCAGCTCCCCTTCCCCCATCTGGCTGACCTCAGCTCCCCTGGGACACCCCTCTCTGTTGGATGTGGGGCTACAGTGAGGATGACTTTGGCTGGAATGTACCTACACGGGTTCATGGGCATTTGCAATTGAATCAAGCTCACTTGTACTCAGAAATCATGAGTTGGTGGAGGTGATGACGTTCAAAACCACTTCTTAGAGCTGAAGAACATCAATCAGCACACTGGTAGCTTCACTCTGATACTTTGCAAACGCTGCTGTGTGCTGGCCCCGCCCCACACTTGCCCCAGAAACCCTGCCCTTCCCTTTGACTGCTCACCCTTTGACCAGTAACCACTTCTCTTCTAGCACCTGTAACTTTGTTTTTCTTTTGTTTCCATTTGGGGCTTCCGTCTAGCCGCTGCTGAGGGCAAGAACCATGTTTTTATGCTCCACGTTCCTAACTTATGAGGTGCCCAACAGATACTGGAAGAATTAATGAGTTTGTGAACGAATGGATGAATGAAAAGCTCAGATGCTCCCACTGCTTTTCAGCATCAACAGACTCAGGCGCCACTCGCTTCCTTTTGGACTTCTTTCGCTCTCTGCAGGCCCTTGGCCCTCACAGTTGGGTTTGGCTGACGGTACCTGCTGGCTTCTCACTTCAGTGTTACCTCCTGCCAATCATCTCTCAGGCCTGCCCAGTTCATTTTCCAGAAAAACCTCATTACTTTCTTGTTGCTTGCCTGCTCAAAAATGAATGATTTCCCATTGCCTGTGGAATAAAGCTCAGCACTCCTTGGCCTGACCTCCAATACTGACTATAGCTTGTCCTTGACATTCCTTTAAAAATATTTTAATTGTAAATATTCCAAAAACAGCAAAATATATAACATAACTTATTTACCTGCCACTGAGATTAAATAGATATTAGCATTTCCCCATTTGTTCTCCTAAATAAATAAATGTTACAGATGCAGGTAGACCTTCCACCCCTCCTCCCCGCCATTAGAAACAATCATTCCCCTTTTAACTTCATCTCTCAAGGGCACCTCTGGGTACCCTTTGGTTGAGTTGGATTCATCTCCTCCCTGACTGTTCATTCTTCCTCCTTGTTTTTTGAGACCCAGTTCGCATCCCACCTCTTCCAGCAGCTCCCCTGCCAACCCCTTAGTTACTAAATTGTTAAGTTATTGTCTCCATGGCTCATCTGGAGACAATTTCCTGCCTGTGATGGTTCTTATGCAGCAGTTTGACCTAGCACTGGGTTTCTGTTTCCCTGACAGTAATGTTTGCATCTGGGTTTATATGACACTTGATTGTCCGCGTTGTACTTCTTCTCCATGAGACAACAGCGCTGAGAATAAGATCTGAGCCTTAGTTTCATTCATTCATTCACTCATTCTGCAGATAGTCACTGAGTGCTCACGGCTAAGCTCCAGGAATTGTTTTAGGCACTGAGGGTACAGGAGTGAGAACAACAGACAATTGTTGCAATCGTGAAACTTATATTGCAGTGGGGAGAGAGAGAAATGACTTGCATAAATGAGTATGTCAAGGTGAAAAGCGCTAAGGAGAAAAAAGAAGCAGGGGAAAAGCCTACGGAGTAACGGAATTCTAGTTTCAATAAACTTTAGGTGCATGTATTTCCTATAAGCTCCGCCTGACTGCCAAACACGGACGTGCTTGGTCCGTATTAGTTGAATTGAATGGGGCACCCAAACAGATAGGATTCGATTACTTGCCTGCGAAATACCTTCCTGTGTGGACCACCCTTAGTTACAGGAAATAGTTACAGGAGAGCTAGAGGAATGTACATTTTCATCCTTTGTCTCCAGGAGCACATCTGGGTCGTTACAGAAATGATAACAGGTTTTGATTCTAGTCCAGGTAGGGCATAATTAGGGAAGGAAATTCTGCTTCCCAGTGACATATTGAGTCCACAGTTACGTGGAAGCAACCTGGCGTAATCTTTCCTTAGCCATTGGGCTGATGGAGGGCCAGTGTTTCCCAGTGTTCTTGTGTGTGTGTGTGTGTGGAGGATCGAGCTGTGATGCCGAGAAGACCAACATCCTCTCTCTGATTCTTCTAGCCTCCAGGAAAGGATGAAGCCCCTCAACTTGTCACTTAAAGAAATCACTGCAAAGGTAAGCGCCTTCATGTGCCCTTTTCTAAAGGTTTTTCTTGAGTTCATTTCATGTCTAGAAGACAGCTGGGCTCTGGGAGAAACACAGCTTCGTGAAGCCACCCTATGGGCCAAGCGCTGAGCCATGAGCCAGGTCAGGCAGCTGGGTGGTGCAGCCCTGACTGGGGTCCCCCAGGAATGGACCCGTGTGGCCTGTGCTTCAGCAGGGGCATCAGGGCTGAGGGTGGAGAGCGACGGCTGCTTCGCACAAACGTCTTTGCTGAGCAAGGTTTTCAGGGTGGGACCCATGTGGGAAATGAGTGACTTTTCTTCCTGGGTGGGCCATTCCTTACAAACATATGGAAATGTATTGTAGGTGGTTGACTTTTGTTTTTTAAAGTTTTTAAAGTGACTTCAGAGTCACTTTGCCCATTTTGTCTGCCATTTACACTTCCTCTCAGGCTTGGTTTGTGTAGAGATAGAGGCCTGGGTGTGCCTAGTGAATTCATTAAGTGGCCCTGTCCTGGTGGGTTAGGGTAAACAGTTTCCAGGGCTGACTGTCCCCTGCAGACAGTTGTCCCCGGCTGAGTAACTGACATGCTGTGAAGCCGGAGCAGTTACCCTGTGAACTGTCACTGACCGTGGGGCAGAGATCTGGACATGAATCATGAATCATGAGCATTTGGTCTGGGGACCAGGGGTGGCTATAAGATGGTCGAGATGTCAGAAGAGCAGGTTGCGGGCAGAGAGCAAAGCAGACGAGAGTGCACTGGCAGGAAGGGATCTGGTTTGTCCTCGGTGCCCAGGAAAAGAGACCAGGAGACCTGCCAAGGGTCTGTGGATCACACGCTAAGCCGAGACTGGGGAAGTGGTGTTGGCACAACTCCGCACAGGTCCTCTGGCCCTTGCCCCAGTTTCGGTGTCTCTTTCATTTTTGAAAACAACATTAAGTGATGTTGCTGAAAATGACATCACACAGCAGTGGTTTCCTGAGCCATTAAGCCCCGCACAGGGCGCTGCCGTCAGGATGGAGTCTTGTCCACAGCGTGGCGTTGGGCTGGGCCAGGCAGGCTGGGAACCTGTGCTGCCTTCTTCCTGGGAACGTTCCCCCAAAGGAGGGCAGATGGGCCAACCTGAGTCCCCAGGCAGAACGCTGGTAAAGGGCTTTATTCTCAGGCCCCCGCGCTGAGCGGGGCTGAGACCTTTCTCCTGCCCAACAGCAGGGACAAGGGAGACGGACTCAGTTTACCAGTTTGTTATGTGAAGCCGGAGGGGAAGTGTTAGGAGCACACCTGATTTTCTTAATAATAAGTCCTAGTGGTGTCGCTCTTAGTATTCATGGCCCTGCGACTTCCAGGAGGAGCCACCAGTGAGGGGAGGAAGGGTCTGGGTCTCTTGCATGGGCCAGGGGTAGACGTGTTCCTTTGCCCCTATTTTCAGCTGTAAATGTGCCATTTCTCAGGCGCATCCTCATTTCTGTGTAGAATTCAAAGGTGGAAGGACTCTTGGGTTTGGGCTTGCTGAGTATGTCACACTGTGTGTGTGACATGATGAGGCTGGATCAGGAGTGAGCTGAAGGTGTGCATGTGACATAACACAGATGGTGTTTGTCAGTGTGTGCTTCATGTGACGTATTGTGCACACACGTATACACATATGCACACACTACTGGGATTTGTAGACGATCTCCAGCTATCGGGAAAGCTACTGGATTTGCCCAAGTGCTTTTGCTTTGTTTGAATACCTTCCCTAATGTAGTTATAAAAAACCCATAATTACCTTGCTTTTCCATAAGATTAAAGAATTCATGTCTAAGATTTAAAAATGTAAATGTAAAAGCTCCATTGATAATGAGTTCCTCAGGGTCCAATTTTATTTGGAAATAAAAAGGAGATGCAGATTTTCTGGGGCGTGTGTGTGTGTTTGGTGGGGGAACAGGGGGAGGGCATAGATTAGTCTACAGAGAATGAAAACAAAACTGCCCAGTCACACAAAACAACTTTCTCTCTGCTCTGGACTTTACTGACTGGTAACCTTGAGGTAAATGTCACAGCTTGGCACAGTTTACTTTCTTTAGTATATTAGATGTACAGATCTGACATTTTTTGATTCCTGCCTTAAAGAGAGCTAGAACCTTCCTACCACTCATTGCATTTCTTTGACTCTTATGGGTTACCCAAGCCAAAGGTAATTGAGGGATAAATGAGATAGAAGAAATAGTTGGAAATAAATGAGATTTCTGGAGATTGGTAGATATTAGATTTTATCCAGCAGTGCTTGAAAGAATGTACATTGTGATTTAAGAAGATTTAGAGAGGTTGTTTCTTATGAATAGTGACAGCTTGAAGGACAGATATGCTCAACAAAGGAGAAACTGACCCAATTATGATTAACAGATACTGTTAACTAAAATCAGATATACTAGACATTCATTGGATGAGACAGAAGAATTATGGCTGGTGTTGCAGAGGGAACGGAAATGTCCTCGGACTTTGATGACATTCGTAGATGAATGGGAGGGGATGTGTCAGTCATCGGGCATGGAGCCCACCAGAGACCTCGCTCCGGGGAGAAGGCGGCCAGAGCATTGTCCTTTTTTTTTTTTTTTTTTTTTTGTTTTAGCTGAGCCATCCTGCTACCTGTTGGCAGCTCAGCGGCTGCTCAGCTCGGGCTGGGACTCGAACTGCTGTTGCTCAGAGCTCAAACTCTTGAGCGAGCTCTTAACCAACTGAGCCACTCGGCCGGCCCTCAGAGCATTGTCCTTTTAATGCCCCGTTCTGACACATCCCAGGACTGTTGAGAGGGTCTCCAACTTAATCGCTGTGGACATGTGGGTGCCTGGAACTGCTGGTGGGAGCTTTGGTGTCGAGGCCACCACACTGTCACCTATGTCCAGAGAGTGAGTTTTATAAAGATATTTGGGAAATTACAGCCACTTAATGGAAAAGAGTGTGTTTAAGGACATGGGAGAAATGGTGTGATGGTTTAGGCAAGCAGTGGGGTCTCCTTTGATGGTAAAAACAATCTCAGTTTCAGTCTGAGATGAGCAGAACATTTCAATTGGATGGTATTTAGCAAGATCTAGAATCTTCTAGTGAAATTAAATTTTATAGTTTTTCTGGGCTCTGTGAACCCAAACGGGTTAATTTTAGTTTCTGAGTGGAATCTTAGATTTTTAGCAAGAAAAAGGGGATGTTTCAAAGTAACACCCAAATGTCTCCACACAGGTATTCATTATTATTCAGCTGTGCTGTATGCTTTTGTTTAACCGGAAGTTTTTCTAAGTCCTCATTAATCTGAGTATTGATATCAATTGAATATGAGGTTTTGCTTTAAACAACAACAAAAAATGTGATATTTTTGTTTCAAACAAAATAAAAGATAACCTAAGTCATTTGGAAAAGGAAAGCAATATATAAGATTTTTGCTAGTTTTGGAAAAGAAAAGAAAAATGTAGGAAGTGTTTGGTGTACACTTGAAAAATAAATGATAAAACCTGTAGGTCTCACTAAGATCTACTTGTGTATTTTTCGCACCTGACTTGACAGCAGATATCTCCCATCCATGTTTCATGAGACGCCTGTATCTACTAGGATTCTGTTTAGCCTGTGCTCTGCCCTGGAAATCAAGGCAGTGGCCCTGTATTTACTGCTTACTGCGTGCCTGACACAGAACAAACTCCCTGCTCACATAGAGCTTGTATCCCTGTGGAGAGAGGCAATAGAAAAACAAAGGAATAAAAAAAAGTATTATACTAGTGTGTTGGCTGAAGAGGATGCTATGGAAAACACGAAGCGGGGAGGGTGTGCTGTTTTATGGAGGGAATCGACCAGGCCTTTCTTCCCAGGGGACCTCTCAGCAGAGTCCTGGAGGGTGTGAGTGGGATAAACACCTGGACCAAGAGTATTTCCGAAGGAGGGAGTGAGTGCAAAGGCCCCGAGGAAGGTCAGGCAGAGTGACGACGTTATGTTAGTTGGTGGGTGTGCTGTTGTGTTAGCTCATGTCAGTTTTATGTTTGGGTGTCGTGAAAGGTATAGGACCTGATGCTTGGAATATGGTAACGCCTGCTTTATTTTGTCCTCCCTTCCTTGTTTGCTTTTTAAAAAACTCCCCTCCACTTACTCTTCATCACTACTCTTAATTACTTGTAAACCCAGAATCTCTGACCTAGCTGTCGATTGGCACCCGAGTAAATGATGAATCATGGCGACTTCTCTCCCTCTAGGTGTGTGTGACCAAGAGACTCTGCAGTACCCTGAGGAAGAAAGTTAACGAAATTGAAACCCAACTGCCGCCATTGCTTGAAGCCAAAATGGCCGCCATATCAGGTAACTGGAAACAGCGGGAACGCTGAAGCAGGTGGGTGGGATAATGGCTGCCACCACCACACACACGTTTTGTCCTTGATGAAAGTTCTCTCTGTTGCTTATGTCACTCAGACACAGCAGAGTGATTTTGGGGAGTTTCACTGAAACCTGTGGAACAAATGGGCAGCGTGGTCTCCTTATAAAGAGATGGGTGAGACTCTTAAAAATCCATATACTCACATAATAGAAAATAAGTTCTTTGATAGGTACCATATTTTGGACTTGCACTTCCTGTTTCTTTAAGACTAGATGTGCTGTGTGTGCCATAGAATTCAGGCCGATGTTTCTATGGCTTTGTGTACCTGTAATGCTCAGTGAGGGTTATTGGACGTGCTCAGCTCCTTCCTGCGGGGGAAAGAATGATGAGTGAGACAAGGTGATACACTCAGTCTAACAATCTAGTCAGAGATTATCGATTTGGGGTGGTTCTCAGTGGGTCCTAACCCCTCCTTAATCCAGTAGTAATTAAGGGATGTGTTTTCCCATTAGTTAATAGGTTGAAAACACAGGTCTCTGAAAATAGTACCTTACTCTATCATTGAATAGTGCTTTTAACATTCCTCTGTTATTTTATTTTCATAGCAGCTGTATTAAGTAGGTGGGGAGAGACCTTGATCCCAGGGAACAGGTGGGAGATTGAGGCCCTGGGTGCGCCCTTCGGTTAAATTCATTCAAGGGCTGGCAGATCAGTGGCTAGAGCCCAGGTGTGACGTACGGATTTTTAACCCAGTTACATAATGATATCCTGCAAATTTTCTCTGAGTTTTCTAGGTTAAATGAACGCTCAGCTCACCAGCTTCAGAAGAACCATAAAAATGTAACAAAAAGGTATAATAATTACATGCATGGGTTTTAAATGGCATTTTAAGAAGGAATACAATAATTGACAGCTTCTGCTCTTCAGATCATTAAACAACTAATGTTGGCAGCTAACGAGCAGTTTGGTTCCTGGCACAGTCACGCGGATCATTTACAATCAGGAGACAATTGCAATGTGAATGTGGGCCTTGGCTCTTAACAGCCTCACATGCCAGTTACCTGGAATTATGGCCCCATTTGCTAAGAGGGAAAAAAAAGACGACTGAACACAGTCTTGCTTCTGAGTTAGGGTTTTTGCCTGTCCTAATCCATATATCTTTCCTGGGAATATAGGTGGAAGTATTTCTGTTAAGCTCAAGGGAGGAGATATATCATTCAGGCAGCAGAGGTAGCCCTCTCTCAAATGTGAATAATCCCTTTTTAACTCCCAGGGAAAATTCTTAAGATGGTGTATTGCATACAGGGCCTGGGTTTTCTGGTCAGTTCTTCAATCAGCTGAGGAAATCGATGAGGCCTAATCGGTTGACCTGATGAGGAATGACCTGAATGAACTGGAATGGGGCCTTACCTCTTGACCTTCCTGTTTCCTGATTACTCTCCAGGACCTTGGTGAACGGGCTTCCCAGTCAATGGCTGTCCCCATGGATTGGCCTGGTGGCAGGGTGGTTAGCATTCTTTTGCCACTTCTGTACATGATGTGATTTCTGTTTTCCTTTGAGCTATCTCCACAGCAGGGCGGGCCTGAGGTGAGACAGGGTGCCTCCCTTAGGATCCTCATGGGCCTGTTTGAGTCCCTTCTGAATGGCAAAACCCCACTCCGTTAGACAAAAGCCCCAGGGACAAACCTGTCCAAGAGAAGCCTTTCTCTACCTGGGACTCTCTGTGAGGATGCTGAGGGCAACACCCTGGAGATTCTCAGAAGCTGCAGGGAATGGAGACGATCTGAAGGGACATCCTTAAGATTCTCAGAGGGTCTTTGGTCTACGTGAGAGTTTCTACAGTTCACTGTCTTAGATCTCCCATCCTGGATTGGATTTGATAGAAGGGCTGAGGCCTTTTCTTTTTTTTTTTTTTCTTTTCATTTTAAAGACTTTTATTACAGGATGTTAATGTTCAGGACAGTTTGGAGTACCTTATACTTCTAATAAGATTTTTGATAATTGGTTTTAAAGTGTTACTTGAGTATTTTTCTCATACTGGCTTTCAGGCAAAAGTACTACTTACTGGATTGTTTAGGAGATGTTATTTTGATAAATAGTTTCTCTTTAATAAACTGAGCATCAATCCATGGACAGCTTCTATGGTAGTTTTACAGCAGTCTTGCGTAGCTTTAGTGAATTTGTCTGTCTTTTGGTCATTTGTTTCTAAACCCAATGTGAAACTCCCCTGTCCCAGCTGGGCTTCTTACTGTTCTAATTTTCCAGACAAACAAAGACCTGACTGGTGGTATAATCTGCATTAGTAGCAAGCTTGAAGGACTCAGAGTATTCCCCCAGTGTTTATTCTACAAAAGCTCAAGCAATTTGCGATCCAAAGAGGATTTGGAATATGAGACTTCTAAGGCATAATATCATTTGCAGTGTACACCCGAGGCTTCTCTTTTATAAAGTGGGAGAGTCCGGTACTCACATGGTCCCTTAGGAGCTTTGGGCATGTCTTAAAGGCTCTAAACTTCCCTTTCCCTGCAGACATTGTTCTTGTTGGGTCAATCGCTGCTGCTGTGAATGGCTCCTGGGGCTGAGTGCTGGTTGAGCATCTGAGTACTAATTTCAGCCCCAGAGAACCAGCAGCCACAGCCAGGGTGGCTATGGTACCCACCAATTGCATTTGCAAGGCAGCCAGCCTGTTTGGCACTGTCTCTATATGGGGCGGCCATGGACTCCCACGCAGCAGCCTAAGCATTTCCTCAGGTCTCAGTGCCTGCACCAGGCAAAGCAAACCATCCACAGTGATCATGGCTTCACCACCCGCCCTCCCAGTATCAAGCCCGTCATGTCCAGGCCGCCTCCTGACCTCGCCTGCATCCCCATCTTTAGCAGAGCCAATGCTGAAACTTTGCAGGACTCATAGTCATGTGACCCTTAGTCCAGGGCTTCGCCGCCAGGAGTTCTGGCTTGTTGTATTTCTAGACTTCATCGATGCTCTGGGCTTCCTGTGTGCTGTTATCCAATTCCCTGGTTTTCTGGGCCCTACCACTCCCAGACGCCATCATCGCCTGGAGACATGAAGCTGTCGCCTCTACACCACGATGTTACTTGGTGTTGCTAGGTTTCTGGATGTGGGCTTCAGACCCTCCCAAACCCCAGAAGCAGACCCATACTAGCCTCTTGAGGCAGCCATGACACCCAGTGACTGAGGCCTTAATTTGAGACTCATTTGCTATCTGCAGAGACTGGGAATAAGAAATAGTTTTATTTTCAAACTCAGCAAGCCCTAACTTCTTTATTTTTAACAGTGTATTCTTTAACTCACTTTTCTTTTCTTGCATTTTATCACAGGTGACAACAAGAAGTCACTTGTATATTCCCCTGGAATCTCCTTGGCTGTCTGATTAACTTCCTTAAGAACTCTTTTCTGTAGCACCTCAGGTGATGACATGACCAGACTTTCTGACACTGCATCACAAGGGCCCATTTCCTCCAAGTCCCAACAGTACTTTCGTTGCTTCCCTTTAGCCTTCGCTGAGGCCTGCTGGGCTTTTCCCTGGTCCCCGGGTCAGTGCCTCAGGTGGCAGGGGTTTGGTTGGCAGCACTCCACCTTGATTCCCAAACCTGTTTGCATTATTGACTTGTGTAGGAAACCACCCCAAGGCTCAGTGACTTAAAACATCACCGTTATTTATTTTGCCCCTGAATCTGCAATTTGGGTGGGGCTTGGCAGAGACAGTTGTGATAGCTCTCCTGGGACGGGAGAGCCCACCTCCAAGGTCATGTTCTCCTGTGACTGGCAGGTTGTCCGGCCTGTTGGTTCCTGTCTGTGTGGGCCTCATTATTGCCAGTGTTGCTTCCTTACAGCATGCCTGCTGGTGCTAAGAGTATCCCAACCGATGGAAGTGGAAGTTCCTTATTTCTTAAGGTCTAGACACAGAAACTGGCTTGTGTCTCTACTAATGTGTGATAAATTACCCCCAAACTTATTACAGTTGTTATATCAGACATTTTCTGAGGGTTAGGAGTCCAGATGCAGCCTGGCGGTGGTCCCAGCTCCGATCTCATGAGGTTGTGGTCAAGATACGGGGTTGGGCTGCAGCCATTGGAAGGCTCGATGGGGCTGATGGGTCCTGTGACCAAGACAGAAGCCACCGTGCCTTGTTTGCATTTATTTTCCAAAATGAGTGGGAGGAGATGTGGCCAGGAGGTGACTCATTGGCCAGCTGTCACCTACTGCTGCAGGCTCCTGGCTAGTGTACCTGTCACATGAGGGCTGTGGTGGCATCTATATCCCTTATTACCAGTGGCTTTGGCCTCAATGCCTTGCAGCCTCCTGCCTTCTGAACAAGGCTGGGACACTCGACGATGGTGAGGATTCCTTTGTTTGGTTTTTAGTGCTGAGTTCACAAGGGTAAAGCCCTGCTGGGTCCTTTCCCCAGGCCATTTACTAACCTGAGCCCTGGAGGTCTGGTCACTGCCATGGCTGAATCCCGCCCAGTAATATGAGCCAAGGAGGAGACTCTCTGAGGCTTGGAGCAGGTCTGATCTAACTGCTCACTTCAGGTTCCTTTCCTGTGGGCCTCACCAAGGTTTTTCTGGGTCAAGGTTGCGAGGCCTCTTTCCACAGAGCAGAAATCTCAAAAGGCGCTCCATAAAAGGGAACCAGCCCAGACAAGGGCTTCTTAACCTCTGCTGCCCTTGTTGAAAGCTCCACCCTCTGCCCCCAGGCTTGATTGCTTTGGCCCCTCACTAGCTGTTGGCGCTCTGGGGGCAAAGTGAGGAGATGACTTGGCACCCTCCAGAGAGTGTGTATGGCTGACATGGGCCTGTGGTTGAGATGTCAGCATCAGAATTAAGGACCTGTCTTCTTCTCCAGAACTGTGCTGGGCCCTGCCCAACCATCGACTGACCTCCAGCGACCAGTGCTCGTGTCTTGAGCTCAGCCTGCTTCCGGGGTCCATGTGCCATGTCCTCCTTCTCACAGCTGGGGCC